TGAGAAGCAGAATGTTTGCTGAATTAAGAGACAGCTCTGGAAATGGGATGAAAGTTTCAAACTACTCCAGGATGGCCCTCAACTTCATGGTTATTGTTTTATTTAGGGTCTTTGGTACCTCTGTGTAGAAGCACAGCTTTACAGAGAGTTTGGCACCTTTCCCTGGAGGAGTGGGTGAGCGGAGGGTGAGGTATGGCCCTGGGGCACCGGGAAGTGCCTCCTGCTTGGGGCAGAGGCTGTTGAGTCAGGGCTGATGAGGAGGTGAGTCATGGAGCTGTTCTGCCAAAGCAGATGATGCCAGGGGCTATGTTAAAAGACAAGTTGTAGTTGTACCTGTGAATGCCAGAGGCCTGAGTGTGTCTCTGTCTCTGTTGTCGTTTGTGGAATATACTTACTGGAGTGGGGAGGAGGGATTGTGAGATTTTAGGCAAAGAACTGAAATTTTCTGGATCTTGATCAAGCTTAGATTGGAGAGAGGCACTGAGCTTTCTTGGACTGCAGTAGTTCTGGACACACCCAGAAGGAGAACTTTAAAGTTTTCAAAGCATTTAATGTAAAACAGAGAGGCACCTTCAGGGTTAGGTGGAGTAACTTGCAATTTTTGTTTTAATGAAAATGTGTGCTCCATGTAAGCATCAGATCTAAGGCTAGATTTCTCTGTTATACAGCCGTCAGAGACAAGTGTATGTTTTAATGTAGTTAATGAATATTTGAAGAGATTAAAACTCTAGTGGAAGGTGTGAGCAGCTGCATTCAAGCTGTTGGATAGATGCAGAAATTGTGTAGCGATAGAAACCTGGTGCCTGTGAGGTGCTTTATCAGAGTCTTGTGAATGTCGTGAGCTTTGGATGCAATCCAAAGGAGTTGCATTGAACATTGTTTAATAGGTGTGAACAACTAAACTAATAGATACTGTATACCAATGTGCAAGGCAACAGGTTCAAAGGGTGCTCTACTATTAAAACTGTAATTATTTTTTTTCTGTAAGCATTCAAAAATATTATTTACTTATGATTTTTTTTCCCTAAATAATACAAAAAGAGAGCTTTGCACATCAGTGGAAACGTGACTTGGGAATGATGCTCAAGTTTCATAGCTGCTTCAAGTTGCCATTGTCAGTAGCTTGCAAGATAATCTAACCAGAAAGGTAAATATTGAAAAAAAATTAAGTTGGCTTGCTATATATTTAAGTCAACAAGATAAAATAGGCTAAAAGCTAAGAGCAATTCTGTACTAGCTTATGTTTCCGTGTGATGTATCTCACATTCTTGTTGTGAGTTAAAATAGAGGGTCTTGGATTGTTTCAGTAGGTAATGTACATATGCCGTGTTAAGAAATTTCTGTTACGGTTAGTACGTAAATGCATATGGATATATGAGCGTTGACAGGACTTGTAAAAGTATAGGTTGATGCTAAAATGACATTGGAATTCATGAAAGTGAAATACCATCCAGTCACAATACACAAAGGGTATGGTCACATGAAAAATTGCATGTGAGTGATCCTGTGATATTTAAGAGTTTAGGATAACTAATACATTGGCTTTCTGAAAATTTTTAAACTACTTTGTAGGAAAACGTTTCTTTGAGCTAATTAGCCGAGGGGTAAATCTCATTGTTGACTTTCTTCTTCTTTTCTTAGCTTTCTGTACAGTGTCTGTGATGTCTGTTCTGATAAATCTGTTTATTACATCATTTAATTCTCTGAGAAATCTTGCTGTGTCCATTATGGTAAATTTTTGGGATTGCCTATGAGTCCACTAGATTATTTTTTTTCTGAGTTACTGCCGTTATCCATCTCTGCCCCTTTTTGAAATCTCCATTACAAATCAATTGTTTTGTTTTCTAATTTTACTTAGACACTCATCTGAGCCTTGTTGACAAAAGGCTGTAGTGTCTGCCTACAAGGGGGCTGCCAGGCTGAGACGATTAAGGCTCTGCAGGTGAAGTTGAGAGTAGTATAACTGCTGAGGCTGGCAGCAGCAGTTTGAAGGTGTTAAGATCACTCACCCTCAGTGTGAAAAGGGAGGAGACTTCAACCAGGATCTTCTTATCCAGTCTCATTTTCTGTGACCTGATGCACATTGTATTGTGTGCAATGAAGCACCTCTCCCTTTGATTGTCATGCCATGGTTGTTCTAGAGAAGAGGTTTGAATTCCTCCGGAATGCCTCCATCCTATGTGGTGGATGGGTTGGGTATGGGGGTTATTTTTTTTTCCCCTACCCAATGTCACAGATTTTTTTTTTTATCCCACTTGTAGGTGAAATGTGGAAGATTGCTGAAATGTCAAATATTTTAATGCAGTGGAGAAAGTCTTGCTAACTCTGCTGACATACAGAAGTGTGGGTTGTTCCAGTTGAGATATTAATATCTATTCTGCTGTAAATAGGGTTACTAGAAAGTCTTTTGCTGGATGGGTCTATAGTGCTTCTAAGACCCTTCTAGGAAGGTAGTTTGACTTTTACACTTGCAGGACTTACTGCAGTAACTAGCACATAGTACACCTCATCAGGCTTTTGAAAGTTTCCGTGCCAAAATTCATGTTATTTAATCCTAGTGTTAACTGTTTAGTGATTTCAGGTACTCATTTTGCCCTGAATCTTCTGGAGGCAAAATGATTGTCATATTCATATCAAAATTTTCATATCAAACACACCACAGCCAAAATGGCATTTCTTTCAATAGGCTGTAAGCACCTAAGCACTCAAATAATTCTGAAAACAAGCTCTAAATTTGCTTAAATACTTAGCATTTTTTGCACTATTTGCTACAAATGATATTTCAGAAGAAATGCATCTACGAGTTGCAGTAAGAAGGGTTTTGAAAAAAGCACTCAAATAGTGTTGAAAGTTCAGTTTGTAATGCAACCTGCCACTGACAATGAGGATACAGATGAACTGAAAAAATTGAAAACATGTGTGGACTTTAAGCACTCTTTAACAACAGTCTCCAGAAACACCGGAGGTTCCTTCCTCGTTTCTTTGCAAAACTAGATCTATAATAGTATCCTTTCTGCTTTTCAGATGAGGTGCAATTTACAAAGCGGATTAGGGGAGCGCACATTTCTTTTTCTGTGGGTTTGTATCCTGTAACAATGTTCTGCTGAGATTGTGTCCCTCCATACAAGGATGTTGGATAAAAAGTTTATTGTGGAGTGGAAAAAAAAACAAAAGAGAGTACATCTGGAAAAAAGCAATGATAAGAACTTGAATCCATGCTGGTTACAATCCATGTTACGTACATATCCTTCATTTTCAATAAGTGATATAAAAGACTATTGCCTCACTGTGTCTGATAATTAGGAGTCAGGTTGCAGGAAGCGAGTAATTTATTTCCTTCACAATTCAGAATGTCTGTTAGTAAATAGTATCCTCGGGGATCTGTCTGAATGCTTCATGTTAGTGCTGTATACATGGACTTGCCTCGCGTTTAAAGGAATGTAGCTTTTTCTGAAACTGTGTGGTAGAACCTCACATAGTGTTGCAGGAGATGTAGACTAAAAATCTGTTTTCAGAAGTGCTTCCCATCTTTTAAAAAACAGTTGTACAACATTAAGCAGTGAAACTGGTGAGTAAATTTGAGAAACCCTCTTAGATTTACTGACAGCCATGGAACTACAGAAAGAAAAGGTGAGGTTCAGCTGAGCCCTAATGCTTGCTTTCTCATGACTAACTTAAACCTGTTACAGGCAGAGCTTTTGTCATTGTACTTTCCCAAGCACTCAACTTTTAATGCCTTCCATTTAAAAAGCTAAACAATCGAACAGTTGTCAGAGGTATTTTGTGACTCTCTAAAACAAATTTGTTGTTCTTATATTTTTACTGGGGACTGGTGGAATTTAGCTTGTCCAGTGACCTGCAGACAATCCGTATTTTCCAGCAGCAGGATCTGTACTTTATCTAACTCCACTTTTCTTAAGTTCTTGAAAGTCTTGTCTCTTTCTAGGCAGATTTTAATTATCTGGCTTCCTGACAGAAATTGAGAGCTCTTTATCTATGAACAGCAATGTTCTCTTGTTTCTGTTCACTCCACTGAATTTCAACATGTAATCACTTGTAAATGGCAAGATACAGACAGTGGGTTGACCAAGCTCTGAAATATATAGATTTAGGTTCAGTCCTACTAGTGTTTTATTTCCTGTTATCCTCCCTCCTTCCCCCTGCCCTCTGTGATTTATATTGTATTTCCCTACTGCAAGGATCTCTTTCCTGCTTGAAAATACTGGTGTAGCATTTTAGGTGTCCAATATATGATTACAAACTTACCAAAATAAGAACTCCCCAGATGTTTAGACATTTGAGAATATTTCCGAACAAATGAGAGTGTACCTGGGTAATAACACAGTAGTCATGATGCAATGATAGTATTTGGAATTAAGAATCAGTTGGGTTTGTATTCAGAATGTTGTTTAACCCCAGGTTTCCTCCATGACCATGGGCAAAGGCATTTAACTTTGTTGTGGCTGGGTTTGCCATGTGTAATAGAGAGGGAACAACACTGCTCTTCTCTGTTTTTTTTCTGCAGACTGTGTGAGCACTCGCAACAGGATCATCCTTGCATTGCTCACAAAATGGGGAGTGCAATTAGTAATACAACTGTACAGTAGAAATTGGTAATCCAGTTTCAGTTTTATGAATTCTGTTAACACGAGACTTTAAATAAAGCTGTTTGCTTTATTGCCGTACAAGTGACACACCAGAAATGTGAGGTAAAAAGGCAAGTAAGTTTAACATCAACTTTGCATCCTTGGGAATCAAATCAAGATTTTGCATCCCATAGCCTTTCAGCAAAGCACTTTGGCACTGTTGAAGTCCTGTTGCAAAAAATGGGGTGTGTCCAGTCTATTCATGTAACACCCACTGGATTTCCAATTTGAATTGCTGTTATGTACCAAGAATTGAGGTAGACATGACTAATATAGGTCTGTTTCCAGTTTCATAGACATCCTGGAAAATACTGAATAAGCAGTGTTAAATGCTTTTCTCTTTCCTTTCTGTAGGATTTGTGTGTGATCAGCGTTGTGCTCTACCACAGTGAAGAGGTATTTTTCACTTCAAGACACCTTGCATTAAAGGATCATGGTAGACAGTTTAATAGTTTCTTTGAGGTAAGTGATGCAATAGAACTTTAAAAATCTTATTTAATATGCTCTTAATACACTGCAGTAACTATCAGTTTGGTTGTCTCTTGCTTTGGTGTTAGAAGTGCTTGTGACATAGGAGGTGTCCTGGTTTGAGGTAAAACAGAACCAATTTTCTTTTCAGTAATTTAACTTTTCAGCTAAGCCTCTTCTAACTAATTGAACACTTTAAAATTAACGGCATCTGTCATCTGTTTTAGTGGCCAGCCTAGGCCACACCAGACAGAAGAATAAATACGAATCTTATCTAAAGACCAAATAATCAAGTACATGCATACCAGACATAGCATTCTTTGGTAATATTAATAAGTTTCCAGTGTTTGTTTACATTTAAAGCATCTGTTAGTGTGTGCCAATGTGATGGCATATACTATTGGAAAGTTCCTTTTTTTTTTTTTTAAGAGACAGTAAAACTGCAGTCACTGGGCTTAAATGACTGATTTCCGTGTTTTAGTACCTGTGCTGCAATTCACTCAGGGATTTCTATTATGCATTCCTGAAACAGTTTGCCGGTGGGCAAACATAGGAAAGACCTTTCAAACAGCTTTCCTGACAAAGGAAACATTCAACTGTTTCTAAGCTGGTCTGTCCAGTTCTGTAGCTGGGCAAGCAGATTCAGAGAAAACAGGCAGCTGTGATGCTGCAGGAAGAGAAGTTGACCCGCTGTGAGGAATGAGGGCTGCATGCTCTTTACTGTCAGTAACACCTGATCTAACCTTCATTCTTGGGAAACTCAGACATCAGTCTTTGAATTGCAATTCTGGCACCCTCCTAATGTGCTGGCACAGATTCCACATCAAAATGGATCTGCCACATATTATCAACGCTACCTGTGTTATCTTTCCTGTTGAGATTTCTCCCTGTGTAGCTCCTCCCAGGCTGTCCCAGAGTCAGGTTGGGCTGCAGACTTTCATTTGGGTGGAAGCTGGGAATATGAGATGAGCCATACTGCTCTAGTCAGTGCTAATCACTTGGCTGAAATACTTTCACTCCTATCTGTACAATCCACAGTTGGCTGTGATGGCCCTTCATAAAACACAACTACTAAGGGACAGCAACCATGCAAGAAATCTTATTTTGGTACCCTCCATCTGTGTTCACAGAGAGCTAATACTCACTGCAGCGACAGAGGAAGAACTCTGAGAGGTGCTCCTAAATGAGGTGTTAGATAGCAGACTTTTCCTTGCTATTCTTACGGTGGAGCTAATACCATGTCCTTTGTTCTGTGCCCCTCCCCAGTTAAACAGAAATTGGTTTTGCCAGTCAAAGAAAGTGAGCTTGTTTGCCCTTTGTGATTTGGACAGACTGACAGTGTGAAGCCTGACTTTGCTTTACACTGGGCACTTGGCTCCAAACAGTGCCGTAGCTGTGCGAGCGCGGGCTGTTCCAGCAAGGCTCTTACACAGAGGCCCGCGTTAAACAGCCATCCATCAGCTGCAATTGATACCTGACCTGTTCGTGTATACTTGAAGAGTTTTGCCTTATTTTGAGGAGCACTTGTTCTTTTTGGCTTTTCTGCACAGTAAGAATACCTGAAACTAACCCACTGAAATTGGAGAAGCCTATTTTTGTAGCTTGGGAGGCCTAACGTTAGTCAAGCGTGACAAATGAAAAAGCCTAGTCCAGAGAAGTTAGCCAAAGCAAGCTACTGAGGGAAGTAACATTAAAAAAATTAAATTGCTGCACACTGATTTGAAGCTAGAGGCTTACCTCAGGATACATTAAGTATTCCTGGCAGATCTCCTGTGTGTTTGAAATAGTAGGTTGATACTGTTGTTTCTGAGAGATCCAATTGCAAATACAGAAGCAAACTTAAAAACTAGCTTCATTGCCCTTGAGTATGTACATACAGATGGTGATTACAGTGCAACCTCATTAAAGAATGGTCAGGAAAAGCTTGGCACGGAGTAATCACACATATATTAAAAGTTTGCATTTTAGAACTGAAAACTTTAATCTGGTAAGTAATTTGCTTTGAAGATTACAGTTCTCAGTTCAAAACTACCAACCTTGTGTGTGATTTCAGAAGAATTTACACATAGAAATGTGTACTCCTTCAGTCTGATCAGAAAAATCCTCTCCTGTTGAGGATGAAAGCATTCATTTCCTTATGCAAAGTTTGAACTTTCTTTCACATGCTCTGAGGGATTATAGGGAGCAGGGAGTGGGTAGGAAGATTCTGAAAAGGAAGTTAAATGTAATTTGCAGAGGATGTAGGCTGGGCCTGTCAGAGACTGCGCTCTGCCTGCTTAGAAGCTTGTCATGTTTTCCTTGAGAATAGTTAGAAGATACCTGAGCACTTGAAAAAAGGAAATGCAGGTCAGCTAAAGACAGACTTGATGCTGTCATTTTGCAGTTTGGAGGTCTGAGTTCTGTTTCCATTTCTACTTTTGATTCCAGGTGTGACTGGCAAACCAGTTTCTTCGTTCATGCCTTTGCCTTCCATCCACTTATTGGGTCTTGCTCTGAATTGCATGGTTTGACTCTTACTGTGGTTTCTTTATAGTGCCTTACACTGGCTCTGATTTCAGCCATCTCCCCTCTATTGGGCTTTATCTCAAATGATAGCTTTGTGAAATATAATACTTCCTTCAATGGACTTTTAAAGTGTTTTAATTGGTTTTTTTCTAAATTGATGTGGCAGTAAGGAAGTAATGACTTTTTCTTGCCTTTGAATGGTTTATTGCTTTGAGAGAGAGGGGCATAGACTATGGTGATGAGGTGATGATAGACTGTGTGCAATCAATACTTACCTAACGGTTCCTTTTGCAGTATGTTACTGCAAGAACACGCACAGAAAACTAAAGAAAAACATTCTCCCTAGTAGAACAATTTTTATATTGGTGATAATGGAATGCTTAGTATAAAAAAAAAAAAAACAAACAAAAAAACCCTCTTTCTGTTTAGGAGGTCTGTCTCTGAAAATACCTGAAACAATGAGAAATATTTAAAGGGTTACTGTGTAGGGAGCAAAGGAAAGAGCTGTGAGTAGGAAGCACAGCTGGATTTTGTCTGGTCCATTAGTTTGCAGATGGATTTTGTGCCCAAATCCATCAATTTTACTTCTGCATTGAAATTCAGCAAATTATTAGCAGCTTTCCCCTTTATAGAGGGTCTGAAGCATTCTCTTTATAGACTGAAAAATCAAACTCCTGGTAGAAATAAAGACATCTTGATCTTGCTTCTCATACCTTTCTGTGTTTTCTGATGAAGGGGCTTGCTAGAAGGGGGCAAACCTGTCCCCAGTGCAGATTATAGCAAACAAAAGACTGAGCTAACTAAGCCTAACTTATAATGGGCTCCTAGGAGTCGTTACAGTGGTGAGGCTTGACAGAATAAAGTTTATTTGGGCTTGGTTCCCATTTTGACTCCTTTCAGATTGAAGGTGTGGGGACTGGGGTGATGCGTGGCTGCTTATCCTTTGTCTCTGGTGAGCAGTGTCTGCTGCTTTCCATCTTCTGTACCCATTAGGTTATTCAGTTTCCACAAGCATTAGGCAGCTGGGGGAGACCCTCTTTTCTGCAAAATCATGGTGATTCTTTGCATGTTTCCTGTGTGCTGGAGGTGGAGTGTTCACCTGTAAAATGAGGAGTGTTCGCCTAGAAGCAGACTTAGTCCACAGATGGGTGAATTCTTAAATAGCACTTTAGTAAACTTGCAAAGCGTATGTCAGTTTGACAGCAAATGCTGAGGTGTTAAAAGATGCACTTGCCAATAGTATTTTAATTCAAATATAAAGTTATGTGGAATGCTATCAATGGATTCTACCTGCTGCGCTTTTGCTTTGTAGATAGACAAGTGTATGTACGTCCCTGGTACTGCCTGCTGTGGAGAGAATGTCGTAAGAACATTTTGTATAGTTTAGTGAGTCTGCTTTGGTTAGTAACGCTATTCAAGTCTCTAAATAAGTTCTTGCAGTTTGGAGCCCTCTAATAGGCTGTAGATGTGTGGTTTGTATTAGTGGTAATTATATCTTCTGTTTCACTATTTGCTTTTTCAGACTTCTTGGTTCCTTAGCAGTGCTGGGATTTCAGTTTGTCATCCCACAGCCTTCCATTGAACACAGAAAGGTAAGCGTTAGAAATATTCAGATTTTGTACGCTTAAAGGTAAATGTAGAAAATATTAGAGTAAGATGCATAAAGCAGTGCAATCTAGATAAAGTCCTGTGAATAACATGGATTTTTGTTTTGTGTGAGTTTTTCTTAAATATAAATAGATACTTGGTTGAAAGAGGCTCATTGTGGTTAATTAGCTGAGTAATTGTATGGAGTGTTGTAGGCCACAAATAGGTCCATGTCAGCTTAGTCAAGCTTTGAAGCATTTTCATCATGTAAGACAAAGAACTCATGTCAGTAAGAGCAGGGCTCAGACGTAGCAGAAGCATCCAGTTGCTCATAGGCAGCTTGTTCAGAGATGGGGATGTCTGAAACGGAAGTTGGACCCAAACCACACTCTGTTGATAGATTTAAATTGCTAGAGATCGGAGCTGGAAACTGCTGAACTTCTCTGTGGTGTTCTTGTGAATGGCTCGCTCATCATAGACATTGGCATGTCTCAGAAGGCTTGCAGCCTGCACCCCTTCCATCCTCCTCACCGTTCCTGAGGGCTCGGCTGGGATACGTAGGTTGGGTTTTTGCTCTGCTTTTCAGGAAAGTAGTGGACAATTTGGAGAGAAACAGAGAGCAGAAGTGATTACCCTCAAGAGGGTTTAAAACCTTGCCTCTGAGAGAAGTTTGAATGAATTCAGGTTGTTTAGTCTAAAGGTCAGAAGACTGGCAAGGGAGGCAGATATAATCTCCAGATACTTACGAGTGCTAAACAGAAGGCTGTTCTTTCTGTCTCTGGTGGAGTAAATGAGAAGAAATGGATTTAAGCTGGAGCTCGGAAAACTTAGGTTTGATGTTAGAAAAAACTTCTCATGGTAAGGGTATAAAGAAGAATAGATGGTATTGATGGGCTAACGTTCAGAATTTCCGTGATGGAGGTCTCTGTGAATGTGTTGGACAAATGTTTGTCAGGAGTGACGTGCAGGTATTGTTGATTCTTCCAGAGACCTCCAGGGAGACCCCTTGAATGCTCTTCTGTCTCTTTATAGGCTGTGAACTTATATTGATGTTGTTCTCATATCTTAATTGGTATTCATACACAACTGATTAATTATTAAAGGTATCAAACAACATTTTTTTTTAAAAAATTGCTTTTTACTATAGATTTTAAAATAATGAAAGGTGCATATTTATTTTTAAACTTTACTTTTTAAAGGAGATAAAAGGCAAGTTTGCAGGGTTTTCTTTCGTGATGTGAACATGTCACTGTCTTTAGGGCAAAAAATTATTTGGACAGTAGCTCTATAGGTATGGACTGGAAACCTGAAGTCATCCGATGGTCATAGTTCCTGAAGAACATAGCTGTCATGTTCAACTCCTTGTGCAGCCTAGTTGTAAGGCAAATTAAATGAGGTCAGCAATGATGCAGTCTGAAACTGGCATGGTCCAGTCTGCAGCACTTCTCAAGCTGCCCAAGTGCTCTGTTCTAAACCCGAGTACAACATAATATTTTTCCCTATTTTAAATCTCTTCTATTTTCTTGTGAAGTTGAGATGGTCATGTTGCTGCTCTGTTTTCAGAACTCTCTCTAATTAGACATTCTTTTATAATGCTGACAGCGAATGGATGCTGCAATCCAGCTTCCAAATGACCTTAGGGGAAAAAAAAAATAATCTACTAACTAAAATAGAGTAAATCAGAGAAACAATTGCTTCATTCTGTGAAGCTCCGGAATTAATTTTGATAAAATCAGATTCTTTGTTTCCAGTTGAATGAGAAATGCCCTGGGTCTGAAGGGCATGGTAACCACCTTGGAGCTGTTCTTTTCACTGAGAACACGAGAGAGAAGTTTCCTAGTGACGATCTCATGCAGGCTCCAAGGCTGCCTGTCATTCTCAGCTCTTACACTACGGGAGAGGATTCTATTCGTGCCAAACTGTTTAGACTGTTAGTCTGTATTTATTAAGCTTCTCGGAAACCTTCTGACCCACCTATCAGCTCCAGATGAGAGGGGCTGTTAGGATCTCTGAAGGCCAAGCCCAAGCTGTTTCTGAGCGTGAGTGCTCAGCTTGGTAGCTGTGGAAGTTGTTCCCATTTGTTTTATGCAGTAACCTGGCCGTGTGTTTGCTGGCATCCCTCGCCAGCATCCCCAGTGTGTTTCTGCTCGGAGCTCCCTGCTCTTTGGCAGAGTTCCTTCTATGTGAGAGTAGGTCGGTTCTGCGGGAAGAAAGAGAGAGGAGGAGGGAAGGATTCTCTTAACAATATGTCATTTTAACAAAGTATCGAATAACAAAAGTGATGGTTGGTAACTTTCACACACACACTCAGAGGGTGCAGTATGTGGAGACTGAGTAACTAGAGCTGGATTCTAATAAAACGTTAGTTTATACCCCAGGCCTTAAGGTGTGTTTATTTTGCAGCTTAAAGTTAAGCATGTGTGCACCAGTGATGCTTGAACGTGCAGTGTTGGAGAGTCTTGTGCACCCTGTATCTAGTTATTTTTGCTCCGTAAGCTATGGACAGCGAAATAAAATCAGAGAGTGGGACTTGGGTATTTGGCTGAGTAATTCATTAAAATATTTCCAAATAGTCTAGATTGTTTTTTCTTACACTGAAACTTTTGGAAAATGAAATAAACCTCAGGATAATCCCCAAAGCAGTTGATGGAAATCCAGTTGTAACTGCCTCTGGACACCCACATTTGAGAAGAGATGTTTTTTTTAGGACTTGAGAACACTTAAAAACATCAGGAAATACTGTTTTCTGTTGGTTGTAAAATCTAGCTAGATTTTAATCTTTTGTTTCTTCTTTCTTTGGAATCCATGTTTACAGTCATAGTAGTTTCAGAGAGGCTGACACAATGTAGAATTTTGAACACAAGTCTGTTTGAAGTTTCCTGACTCTTACTTGTAAGAGTTTTTATTTACCTTCCTGTATATTAGAACTACTTAAAGTACCATTTACCTGCTCTTCACTTAGTGGCATATGTTTAGGACTTTAACATGAAGAAAGAAGTTTATCTTTCAAGCAGCAATTTAAAAAAAACTTTTTTGAGGCAAAATTTCTTCAACAAAATGTGGAAGAGCAGAGCTCGCTCGGCAGGTTGCTTTCCTCAGACACACACATAAAAATCCATTTCTGGCATGAGCCTGGAGACTGTTGGCTGGAAGAATGAGCCAAATTACTTCCATAGCAGGGAAGTGCAGATAGTGGAGTTAAGACTTGGGGGGAAGACAGAACCAAATGAGAAAGTTTAATTTTTTTCTCATTTGCAGTTTATTCTGTAACTTTTCTGCTTTCTGGAGCCCCCCCAGCTAAATGCAATACTGTTCCATTTCAGTTCCCCTTCTTTTGTTATTCTGGGAAAACTTAAGCTTGGCTATTAAAGTAAACATGTTTTGAATGCTCGCTAGCAAAAAGGTACTTCTTTGGGGGAAAACAATGCTTTCTGCTTTTAGGTTTTATAATTTTGGAATTAAAGTCTTGGAAGCTTGTCTGTCATACAAAGTCAAAATTGACCAATAGAGAATTTCTAGTTTCAGAAATACCTGGGTACCTGATTTTTATTTAGAATAGCTTTTGTGTTTATTTACTTTAAGCAATGCTGTCTCTCCTCTCAGAAGTGCACAAAAACTGAAAACAAAGAGCATCTTTACATCTTCCCACATCTGAGCTTATGGAACTGCTCTGTTTGTTGATCTTATCTCTTTAAATACCATAGGTTTGGACAGTAATAAAAATACGTTAAACATGGTATGTTCATTAGACAGAAATAAAAATTCCTATGTAAAAGACTTTTATAGTTTCTTGCTGAAGACAGGGATAGTAGTGGTTGTAGAGGTTGTTCATAATCTAATTTACTTATTCCTCATTCACAGTATATAATTTCTAAATATCAAGTGTACTCCTCCATAAGGCCAAAATACACATCAGTATTAGCACAAAAAGGAAGAAATGTTATGTGAAACCAAATAATTGACAATTGGTGTTTTAAAAATCAACTGAGCTGTCTGAAACTGGTTAAACTGAACTCTTTCTTAATGTTTGAACAATTAACTTTCCTTGTCTGTCAGTACTGGACGCGTGAACAGCCCTCCTGCTGCTCATCATGCAGCCAAGCTCTCTGTTCTCGCTCCCTATGCTTATTTTATTGAATAAATATTATTTAACCTTATCTGGTAAGTGTCACACTGTGATGAACAGAAGGTTAAACTATGAAACATAACAGTCCTTCTCCCAGACAACCACTGAAGTCTGTATTCCTAATTTTTCAGAAGTCATTCCTGGATTTTTAACTAATCATACGTTGCTGTGTTAAGAAAATAAGCTGTAGTTATATTTATCGCTTGTTTATTTTGGTAAAATTGGTAACATAAATAGTAGTAAAGTTTGTCCAAATGAAATTTCTGATGTAAATATTGCTTTGTTTAAACATCTTGCTTTTGTTTTAGCATTAAATAGCAGCATTGAAGCAATGGAGTTGCTTTCAATTTATGCATATCTTTTTGTCACTCAGCTGTAGATTACTGTTGACTTCAATGAAGGTACAATATCTTAACAAACTGATTTTCAGTGTATGGAAGAAGTGTCAGGATTTATTTTTACAGGAATTTCATTGGGACAGTACAATATTGTTGAAGAATTTTGAGCCTTTTTGGGCTCAGTGTTGTTTCTTTATGCTGGCTCTGGATTAAAGAAGCAGTGAACTGGGTGTTATCTCTTGCTATCAGACACACAACGTCTCTGTGAAAAGCATCTATGTATCAAGTGAATGGGACTGTAGTCCCCACAAAATTTGGAGATGAAGATGCTGTAAGATGTGTGATGTTGGGGTTTTTTTGTGTTCTCCCCCCACCTTGTGTTGGATTCACATATGCTCGTTGAAGGCTCAGCACTGCTAAGTCCAGAGAAATAAGGAAGAGGATCAGGAGCAGACACTGAGGGAAGAGAGAGGATTCGGGGGAAAGGAAGGGTGGCCAAGATGCCTTGTTTGGCCATGGTGTACTGTTAGAGAGTTCAGTT